GGTGAAACTCCGACGAAACAGTTTGTCACAGCCCCTCGTTTGTTGTCCTCTTCTCTCTCTCTGCCTACGGTTTACCGGGCAGTTCTATTTGTGACGATATATATATATATATATATATATCAGGGTTGCCGGCGTTCGGGAGGGCCGAACGCCCGAACATACGGGACCCCTTCGGAAGGCGTTCGGCCGTTCGCCTGGGCACTACATCCAAATTCTTTACCAAATTTGAAATAAAAATCCAATACAGAAAAAAAACACTATGATAAAAATAAGAAAAAATAAAATGAGAATTAAAATCAGTGAGTGTGCCAGCACCTTTTCGACACCGCCATCTTTGCCGATTTTTAATTATTTTTTGGCATTGACAAGTGCCCTGAAAATTTACAGATATGTAGTTTACATAATCAATAACTCATTAATTTTTTTTTCAAAAAATAATAAAATTGTTCAGGCCCCGAAATAAAGTGAAAACAAAAAGTTAAAAGTTAAAAAAAAACAAAGTAGTGAGTGGGCGAGCACGTTTTGACACCCCCATCTTTGACGATTTTTAATGTTTTTTTGGCTTCGCAGAATGGCTTCAAAATTTATAGGCGTGTAGGTTATATCATAGAGAACTCACAAAAAAAAAAGTCAGAAAATAAAACTTATTTTTAGGCCCCGAATTTTTTTTTGGCGGGGGCCGAGCCTGGAGGTGTGTTCGGCCCCCGAACGCCCGAACATTCGGGGGCCAGCCCGGGGGCCCCCGAACGTTCGGTCAGGTAACCCTGTATATATATATATATATATATATATATATATATATCGTCACAAACAGAACTGCCCGGTAAACCGTAGGCATAGAGAGAGAAGAGGACAACAAACGAGGGGCTGTGACAAACTGTTTCGTCGGAGTTTCACCGACTCATCAGGAGGCTGAACCCTATATATATATATATATATATATTTAACCTTTTGTAAGTTTTATGCAGGTATCAGTGATCTAGCAGTCGGGCCGCATGGGTGACCACCTTGTTTGAACCAGCTGGCCTGGCCGTGCAAGAAGGACAAGGGAAGGGCCCAGTGAAAGAAGGGGGGGGGGGGGGAGGCGGTGGGAACTATTAAATTTTGAATTCAGGTCCATGTTTCAGCAGTTATGGGTTACTGACTTAGTAACTCGGCATGCGATTTTCAGGGCTTCACTCCACTACTCACCAAATGTGCAAAACTAGAATGAATTTTCTCCTAGAAACTGGAACCATACGTGCCATATGTTTTTCTTTTGTGCAAGTGCTAACGAGTGGAGCGAGTAGTCTTTTGC